GGTCAGGAGGTTTCTGGATTGAAGTGTTCCGAGGGCTACAGTTAAAGGGTTTATGGGTCTTCTGCTTTTTTAGACTTAAGGTGTCGAGGACCGGTTAGGAGCCTACCGGGTTGAAGTTCAATACCTGAACTGTGATGGGATTAGGTGCTTGGGAGTACGACTATATTGTTTAGGTATACGAAGGCGTTTAGATCTCTGCAGTCTTGACAACAGTTGGGAGTTGAAGGATTCGTGTCCAGTACGTCCTGCTTCATGAACCTGAAATGCCCGAGCCCTACTTCACTGTAATCGCTTGTCTCATTGAATGCTATTGAAAGACATATCTGAGCCGAGAGCTATTGACAGCACAGCGAGGTCCTAGGTACTTGACGCTTGGGCCCTCGGCAAAGCAGACAGCGGCACTTTTTCGAAGATCCTGAACCCCACACCCTGGCAGCCTGAACCCGAAACACGGAACGCCTAAACCCAAAGCCCTATACGCCCTATAGGTGCGGCAACACCTGGACTTCCACGCAGGGGACGCGAGCACCTTTTGGATGTCCTGGCGCCTAGACCATTCAGAGTTGAGAAAGCTCTTGAATGTTGGAGCCAATTTCGAGTTACAGTCTGGAGATTTTGGGCGATGCCCGCAAAGCCTCTGTCGTTGATGTTCGTGTTCGGGATGCAAAGCTATCGGTCAGGGCACCGCCCTGAAACCCAAATACCAAAACTCGTTAAACCATAAATTAGCAGTTGAGGGGTGGTTTTCGGAACGGGCATCTGCGACTCGGCTGGTTGTACATTTGAAGTACATCCCTCTATCGTATGCTAGGCCTATAGGATCCCATGTTTGAATACTGAGGTCCTGTTTATTCAATGGCACGGAAGTGATTCGTCTAAGCATCAGCGCATTCCACTTCGGACTTGTGAGCATCAGGGTTCGGTTGTTTTGGGGGACTCAGGTTTCGAGCTTTGGGTCGAGTCATATAGGGTTTGTAGGGCAAGGAGCTTAGTTATGGATGTGGAGGGTGCTGCAGGGTCTTCCCGTGAGATCCCGTGAGTCTCCAAACGCCTCCATGCCTCCACCCTCAACCCAAATTCTGAAGCATCCCCAAACAAGACGAATCTTGAACACGAAGCTCCCGAGCCTCCCCAAATTATTGAAACTGCACCCAGGGATGAGTTCCTCCAAACCTGGCGGACGGTTGCCGTGGTGCGCCCGCCCGTTTTATGGATGGACGACTATGAAATCCAAATAAGCACGGGGTTTCAGAATGCCTTGATGCGATCATCCGGTTGAGCTATGCAGGTTTTTATTTATAATCACTCACACACGCACATCACATACATCCCGTGATGATTTTGTGGTGTATCTCAGGGTTGGCGACTTGATTCTCTTCGCCGGCACCTATTTGTGACAACTCCAAGGAGTTGAGGGTTTTTGAAGGTAGAGTTTCCGTATTTCCGTCACCAACTTGAACCCAAGTGCCATCTTGGCATGTATTTCCCGTTTCGATGTTCAGGGGCGCTGTCGGGCCTCAAAGTTTCTGGAGTCATGTCTTCGGGTGAGGCCCGGGGTCCTAGCTGCACACGAGCACCCTTGTTGAGCGAGCCTTCCACGATTCTCCATGCACAGGTCTGCAGCACTAGACCTTTGAATCTGAAACCCTGTTCCACAGACCCTGTGTTTCGACATCCTCGGAAGCCGAAACCTAATAGCACCCTGCAGTAAGTGGACCTTGTACTGCGGACCAGCTAACAAGCAGCTGTTACTGCAGAGTCTCCTTAGTTACGAGCTAGGCAGCTAGACTTGCTAAAGCTGAGAGCTTGGAAGCCAAACGAAAGCTCTAGACCATAGACCAGAACGTTATACCCATCAGTCCCAAACTCTGCATGCAATGATGCCTCAGACTTTCTTAACCGTTCGATCGCCCAAAGGGCCCAAATTACTCCCGACATCCGACTACATTCCCAAGTTACAACCACGGAACCCTAAAGCCTAATGCATCAACCCTGTTACCAAGCAGCAGGTGGAAAGACCAATGAGCATTCGAGCTCTGCACTTCGAAGTCATCGGCGACTCCTTTTGTGCAGCTCGGTGGCCCACTGCTTGGGGCTCTGGGGTTTTCTGTGCTCCGAACTGCGAGGGCTTGAGGTACTTTTTGAGGTGTTTGGGTGTTTGGGGTGTATTAGTAGTCTTGGGGTCTAAAGAATTTTGGGTTCTTGTTTGGGGGACTGGAGTAGGGGATGTTGGGTTGTTGGAGTCGTCTCTGCATTCAGGTTGCAGACAAATCTTGCTCACTAGCTTCAACAGGGCCCTAAAATCTAAAAGCAACTATAATCTTCTTTATTTGTCAGAGCTCCTCAGTGCTTTGGGGTTTGGGCAGACATGCACACCATGGAGTCAGCCAGTGCTCCCAAGAAGCAGGCCACACAGATGCCAAGGCCCCAGCCCTCATCCTGATGAGTTCAGGCCAGTCGTACGTAGGGTAGGAAAGCGCGCCGAACCTGAATTCATCGAAGCATGGACCATTCAGCTGCCGCATAGTAGCCTGGGCCCAAACCAGAAACATCCACAAACGATGTAAGTCAAGCAGTGTCTCATTCATTGGCCCCAAGTTGCCTTAAGATAAGCTGGGCCGACAGGCATTAGCCATACAAGCACATCACCCTTGGTGCAGAAAGTGTATGGTTGAAAGCTACAGCGCCGGAAAGCAGCAAACCCAAATCCCGAAGTCTTGAACCCTGAAGCCAAACAAGAGTTACCATGCTCGATAATCTGAAACCTCAAGCCTCACACGGTTTGAAAGGGTTTTGGAGAAACTCAGAGGACCCAGCCGCCGCCTGCCTGCTGGGATGCGCGTCGTTTTGGGCTGGCGAGGGCTGCCACATGGCGTTAAGCCTTGTCCAAGTCTGCCTTGCAGGTTTAAACTGTCTTCGTTTCAATATACTTGCCAATATACATCTGCGTAGCATGCGTCTGTGTTTTCCCCTGGAAGTGTGGCACAAGCTGAGCGGCTTAGCGTACAGAGTATTGCAAGTGAAGCAGTAAGCATTCCCACCTTTCCCGGAACGCGGCTCCCGCTGTGATGTGGGGATCTACGCTAGCAGCTAGCATATTATTGTCTTTTGGTATTGTTCATAGCTGGTTCGTACAAGTTCTTGTCACGCAACTAAGAAGGTTTAGCTCTCTTAAAGATAGACCGAGATCGTCTGCTATATATCCACTTCAAGCTCCTTAGCCAGAATCCATGTCAAGGGCTCCATAGTTTGGGACTCTTGCGTTTTTCCCTGCGGCTGGAGAACTTTGAAATTTGAGGCCTTTGTGGACGAGGATTCAGTTCTCGGGTTTACCACAAGTTGAAGAACCGACAAACCGCATGGCTTCAGGATGCTGGTCGTTTAGGAGGACAGACCGGATGCATGGGGATGAAGGCTCGATAGGACTTGTCAGGAGCTGGCACGAGAAACCGTGAACTTGCTTGAGGCCGTTGCTTACCCGTGCCACACACACATAGACGCGCTGAACGCCTGACCAGTCTGGTTGTGTAAGCTGCACAATCCCCAATTCTTCGTGAAAATGCTCAGCTACACGCAGAAACTCACGGCAAGTGTTAAGCATTGCAGCTGGCAGTAAGAAGACCTGAGGCACGAGTCCCCGGACAGAGCCGCAGATCCTCACCCTCAATCAGGAAAAGTAGAGCTGAGCTCCAACTGAACCGCCAATCCTGAGAACCCCCCCAGGCCCTAAAGTTTCAATCCCGTACTCCAAACCCGAAGCTGTGAACCCCCACGGCCGGCATTAACTCCATGGCCCGGCGCTCGAGGTCAAAGACTTTACAGCCCCGATGCACGCGGCGTGCATGGAGAGCCCACAGACGGCAACCAGAAGCCGCTGGGGGTCTAGGGCTATGTTGTTTAGGACGTGGGATTTGTCACTCAACCTATGCTTCCATGCTGCAAACATCGCATCCGAGGACCTACTCACTTCAAGCCACTCCGTCTCTCACGTTGCCTTCAGGCTGCAGACATGGTGCGTTATGTTTTCCGTGATGTTTCGCCCACGGTTTCACAAGTGGCTTGGCTAGGGCCTGTTGGGTTTAGGGGAGTAACGAAGCTCCCTGGACCTTGGACCACAAGCCTTAAGCTTTTGGCGAGTCTAGTCGAATTCGCGGGAGTTGCTAGTTTTCTTCACCCTTCTTGCAAAGCGCTGAACCCGAACACCCAAACGTTAAATTGTGTGCGGATCTAGGCAGGAGCTCCTCGTTTCAAGTTCTGGACAAGCGAGCTGAAAAAACGAAAGTCGAAGCGCTCATTCCGGAGCATGGTAGCTCATATAAGACAAGTTAAAATAGAGAATTGTCAAGGATGACAAGTACTGCTTCACCATCTTGAGAGTACCGTGCTGGGCACATGCGCAAACACTTACAGAAGCAAGTTGTCAACTCATACCCGACGCCAACCCAAGACTAATTAGAACTGAATGAAAGCACGCCATAAGAGTGACCGAAACAATACCGAACATCCGAAGGCCCTTTTTGCCACAATATAAAGTCCCGTATGCAGCCCTGAAAATCCATTCCACTGGGGACCATGCCGATGCGCTATCATGCAACCCTTCAACTATAGAAAGCCTTATATATATTCACAAGCATCTACACATGCAAGTAGAAAGCCTCATACACTCAGTCTGGAGGAGTTTGGGATGTCATGACTTGGGGATTGAGAAGTTCTTGGTGATTTAGTTCCGGGTGTATGGAGTAGGGCAGCCACGTTGGGGATGTTGAATTTACGTTTTCCATTTCTCTTGGGTTGTTTGTTCTTCGCTCGCATGGTTCACTTCGCCCAGGCTGGGCAAGGACGTCGACAAGGAATGATGTGCAAATTGCTGTGATATCGTGGTCACCTGCAGCATGGAGACAATTTTTAAATCAGACACTTGTCTCAGGAAACCTGATGTAGGCTAGCCATGTGACCTCCTTACCTGAAGTTTTGGCAGAGAGGTAAGTCGATGTTGACACATGAGTCCACAATTCTTCGCTAGGGCACCTTCAAATACAAACGTTGAGGAAGGCTCGACGGAGAATGCCCAGCCATGCTTGCCAGAAATTTCGTCGGACGCCGCCGTGGCTTTCTTTCGTAGGTAGAGCCCAACGTCACAATCACGAATGCCTGCCCCTGGCCCGAATCCTCAAAGCGGAAGCGAGATCCCAAAACGCTGCAAGCTCTTCGCCCCTTGATCATTGGTTCCAAACTAGCCTCAACCCGTCAACGCTTAGTGATACAGTTGGATTCCAGTCCAACCGCCTTCCAAGAAGGCCGCGCTGGAAATTCAGGGCTGTCCTTCGCAGAAGTTCCCTAAGAAAGAGTACACCTTGTACACAAAAACACATGGATATATATATATATATATATATATATATATATACATATATTTAATATATATATATATATATATGTATCTATATATATATATATATATACATACATATATACATACATATGTATACAGAAAGGTGCCTCGTAAATGCTCCAAACGCGATATAATGCCCGGACTAAACTACTCAACCCCTCTGTCGTTTTCTTTATGAAAGGACGACCCTGGTAGGAATTCTTGGACAGGTCAGCGAGCAAGAACTATATCTAAGTAATTGAAGATTCGAGGGTTCAGGAAAGTTGAAGGATGCTTTCATCGGTGTCGAACCTCAACGTCTTGAGCCGCACGCACCAAATCTTTGCTCGCTGCTTCTGTCTTGTTAACGATCCCGGCAAGGGGCTGGAAATGCCAGTGTTTAGGGCTTTCGGGTCTGGGTGAGTTGGGGTTCGAGGCGAGCTTGGGTGGACGGGCCCGGGTTAGGATGTTAGGTTCGGCAGGGTATGGTGAGGGGACCCTGTGAAGCCCTAGAGACTGAGATCGTGGGTCCACGGATTGTTCTCGCATCTGCCCCTGCAGATCAGATTGGTCGCCAAAATCTGCGTCACCGAAAGGGCGATCGAAGCCTAAGTTTAAGCCCCAACCAAGGATTTAAGCCTTAGTGTGGCACTCAAGAAAAAGGAGTGGGCAGCTACAACGCATGCTAAATTGGCAGCAAGAACATCATGGCCCGAATGGCAAGTGTATCAAGCATCTAGTCCTTGCTCCTGCACATTTCTCCCACCAAGAACTCAGCTGCTCTTTGCTTCAGAGTCGGAAGCCGTGGAGTCGCCGAGAAAGATTGACTTCGGCCGGTTCTGAAAGGCTTTCATGTTCTAGGGTGTAGAGGAGTTCAGTTAAGGGTTCTCGGATGCTGGGCTTGCGCATGTAGCTCTTGAAGTTACTGCTTCCAAGGCTTGCCTTCGCCATGCTGCTATGTAGACCACTTCAATCGCCCTGAACTGGAAACCATGCTGGTCAGGAACCTGCACCCCTGAAAGCCGATTTGTTGTTATCCTTCCACCCCTAACAAACCATGTACATTACCCTGAACCCCAAAGCTACGAACACAAAGTCAAGAACTGCCAACCTCAGATACTAGCACTTCAGCACTTGGATCTCGAAGAAGCATTCTGGGCCCCACAGATCGCTTTGAAGATAAGCTAGTCGAGCTCCACTGCTTGAGGCTTAGATGTAAGATTACCACTCAGAACGAGGTCCGCAGTCGTATGGAGCGGCTGAAACAAGTCTCACGTGACCAGGACGAGGCGGGCTTGTGTCAGCGAAGGGATACGGGTATCGGGTTAGAGGCTGTTGAAGCTTTGTGGTGGTGTGGGCTTGAGTTGCTTGTCAAACACACCGTTTGTGTGTCCCAAAGGTGACTTTGGACTTTTGGCTCAACCAGACTCACGGATTTTAAGCCGTTTTCTCGGCCGGGGTCCCGTGAAGCCAATCTTTGAAGCGGGATTGCTCCCAAACAGGGCTCTACCCCAGTCTGTTGGGGTAAGGGCCCCTCGAGGGTTGTGAGCACATTCCTCAGTTCACTCTTTGAACGGACCCTTGCCCGAGCCCCTAGATCCTGCATCCGTACACTCGAAATCGAACCGGAAAGCCCCAACCAGGCTGTGCGGCGGGAGCAGTTCCTGGCCAGCTACGAAGATGTTCCACAGCTGCACAGGTTCGGAGTTGCTTCAGGGCAGGTTTGGGGCTTTTGGGCAGAGGGCCTCCAGCCGTTTCGACGTTCGGACTTGAAGGGGTCCACAGCTCGGATGTTGTGTCCGTGGTAGCTTTGCGTCCCTCAGCCTCTTGGTGCGGAACCTTGCTGCCCTGAGGCCAGTCCGGCCGCTTTGTTGGACTTCAAAAGCCCTCTGCACAGGAGAAGAAGGAAGTAGAAGAACTGGTCCGACTTTTCGGTCGGATGGACTGATAGAATAGCTCTACCCTCTAGCCCATTCGACCGAGGCCCGACAAGGCGTCCAGGACCGCATGCGCAATCTCATGGTCCGGAATCCCAACCGGTGATCCTTCCGGACAGAGTACTGCCTTAAGAGGGTTTGGAGTGAGGATCTTCGGCTCGTGGCATAAGTAAGCAAAATTGTGTTGGGCCTTTGGGGCGAGGGTGCGGGGCTTGGGGATGCAGAGTGGAACGTGCTTCTAACGATTGTGCGAAACTTCATCCTTCTTGTTCATCGAGGGCTCCTTCGTATCAGCCTTTGCAGGATTTTCGGTTGAAAGAGGGGGGGGGTTCAGGGTTCCCAGATGTTCTTGTGAGACTAACCTTTACCCATGACCCCTTCGACTTTGGGGGTTTCGGGTGTTCGGGTGTTGGGATTTGAGGTGCTGGTGGTCGTGTGAAGTTTCCGGGCTCACAGCTAGCACATTATGGCATTGTCGACTGCTATATGACCCAATTGGCCGCAACATCGCAGATTGTAACAGGCAGCCGCTGGGGCGCCTCGAAATCACCCGAAACCCCAAACGGAAACCGTTCAGCCTGCAAGAGAAAGGAATCAGTTGGCTTCAAGCTCGAACACAAACCCATCTATACAGCTGAACCAGAGGCCGTAGTCAACCGCTTCAGCAGCCCGAAGCTCAAGAGCTGCGAAGCACAATACATCAAATCTGAAACATTAAAAAGCCTGTTGACCTGAAGACCCATGGATGCTTAGTTAGTTTCCAACCACCCCCACACGAAACCCTAAGCCCTTGCGACGATCATGGTGGGCAGGTCTGAAGAGCAGCTGGCAAGACATCCCGAAGTCGTAGAACAACCCAACACGACAAAGCACTGTCAACATCCAAACGAAATCTGAAATCCCGAACTCCGGACTGCCTAGCAAACAAATTCCAGGTCTGAAAGCCAAGCCACAGAGAAGCTCAAGATAACCCAAGGCCCAGCTCCGCACCGAGATGCTGCGCAGCCCTGCGGCCGCGCCCCAAATCCAACAGGATTTATTGCTTACAAGGCTTTAGTCTTTAGTCCTGTGATTCACGGGCTTATCACCCAAAGGACGTAACCCCCGCCTAAAGGCCTAAAGGACAACATACCAGAGCCTTTAACTTGCAAGCCGTGTCTCCACAACTTGGGATTCCAGGACCTCTAAACGGCAGGTTCGATAGATCCGAGGAAGCAGATTCATTGCAGGCGATGTTGCTTGTCCTGAAAGCATGAAGCACACCTTGCGCAACACATGGGCACGAGAAGAGGCCTCAGTCCGACTATCCAGAAGAAATTGGTTAAGCCTTACTCCAATACTTCAAGCTGAAAGTTCGAGCAGTGGTGTTGTCCAGCGGATACAGCGGTTGCGCAGGTCGTAGGCTCACATGTAGCCTTCAAGCCGCCTGCTGTCATAGTTCTAGGCCGGATAAACCTGGAACCCAAACCTCTACTGGAACCCTAAAGCCAAGCAGCAAACCCTAACTCCAAATCCTGGTGCATTCAACATCGTCTCGGACATTCCCTTGCTCTTCGTAGTCTGTTGCTGAGGGATACTGACTCCTAACACTGCAGCCTGGTCAGACCCTGTTGAGATTCAGGGTTTGGGGTTCAAGGCCTGGGGAGCCTGGGCTTGTTCGAAAGGGTGTAGGGTTTCGTGACCTGGAATCACAATCACGCCTCCATGCGCATCGGCAGCGTGAAACGAGAGAGGCTCAGAAGCAGAAGCCAACAGCTGTCCCACCCACATGGACGGAGGCTGGCAGAGCACATGATCCCTGCTGTTGTTGCGGGGCATAAGGTCGCTCAGACTCATAGCTACCTTAAAGTACAGGCTGCCCCGAAATTGCTCATGGCTCAGCGAGAATCTTTAATCCTTCATTCCCGGGGCTGCGAACTCCAAGTCCTCAGAAGCGAGCCCTAAACTGCCCGCATGGGTTCAATGAGCCAGCATTCGAGCCTCACAGACCCGTAAGTTAATGCTACAATACGTATATGTACGTATGACATGATATGTTGTGATATGACATGATATGAACATGTTATATCACATAGGTGTGTATGTGGTAAGCGTATGTAATCACTTAGTATGTATGCTAATGCTATGTATGTATGCATCGATGGGTGGATGTATGTAGTTGTGTAAATATGTATATATGTCACTATGCATGTATGTATGTATGTATGTATATATGTATGTACATACGTATGTATGCATGCACGTATGCATGTATGTGTATGTATGTCTGGTTATCTGTCGTTCTGTCTGTGTGCCTGAATGTATGTATGTATGTATGTATGCATGTGCATATGCATGTATGTATGTATGCAAATAGCATGTCTGGAAGTAAGTAGACAAGTAAGTATTTATGTACGCGTGTCTGTTATGTTCGATTATGTTGCGTTATGTTATTGTCTGTCTTTCTGTCATCTCCGCCGCGTCTCCGCCTGTCCGTCCGTCCGTCCGTCGGTATGTATGTATGTACGTATGTTCGAACGACAGAGATAGGTAGAGCGGGGGTTCTCAGCCTCCAGCCCACACGCTGTGCAAGTCAGCAAGAGAGAGCAAGAGAGAGAGAGAGAGAGAGAGAGACAGAGAGAGAGAGAGAGAGAGAGTGAGAGAAGCAAGGCGATAAAGAAAGAACGAAAGAAGCAAAGAAATAAAGACAGAAATACATGAAGAAAAAACGAAGCACAGAAAGAAAGCGCCGTAGAGAGAGAGAGAGAGAGAGAGAAGCAAGGCGATAAAGAAAGAACGAAAGAAGCAAAGAAATAAAGACAGAAATACATGAAGAAAAACGAAGCACAGAAAGAAAGCGCAGTAGAGAGAGAGAGAGAGAGAGAGAGAGAAGCAAGGCGATAAAGAAAGAACGAAATAAGCAAAGAAATAAAGACAGAAATACATGAAGAAAAAACGAAGCACAGAAAGAAAGCGCAGTAGAGAGAGAGAGAGAGAGAGAAGCAAGGCGATAAAGAAAGAACGAAAGAAACAAAGAAAGAAAGACAGAAATACATGAAGAAAACACGAAGCACAGAAAGAAAGCGCGGTAGAGAGAGAGAGAGAGAGACAGAGCGAGATGCCTCAAGTTGAGAACTTGGGATGTAGGCACACAGTAGAAGTGTAGCCAAGCTTGCAAATCTCTGCAGATATAACCCATAGAGTAGGCAGTAGCTGAAGGAATGGTGTGAGCTGATTCTTAGAGTCTTAGAGGATCTGCAATGCGAGAGACAACGTACTAGACGTCTAGCGAGTGATGCTGGAGTGCTTGAGGTTTGCATCGGCCGGTACATAGACCTGCAATTTTTCTATTGGATGTTGTACCTGTTCAGGGCCAAGACGCGGAACCGTCAATGTTCGAAAGTTTCCCGGTGCCATGACCAATGTTCATGAAATCTTTGAGGCTTTATGAATCTGTGTGTAGCGGTAATTAGTTTCGGGTTCGGGGTTTGTGCACGGCGTTGTTCATGGCTTGAAGGTTTATGGCCGGAGCTGCTGCTGCGACGTTTGGCTTTACTTGTAGTAGTGTGGTAGCGCCTTCCACTGACGACTGTCTGAAGAATTTCCCGACAGCGGCGCTTTCGTCATGGGCCACAGATCCTGAACTAAGAGCCTTCACAACACGCAAGCTTAACACACACATGAAATTCTGAACCCCCGAAACCCGAAGCTCCCCAAACGGAGCTCTGGGAAAACCTGAGGCCGAAACACTGGTACCTAATGCTGGTATGGGATCGCGAATCCTGATCATTTTCAGCTCCGCGCGCCAAGTGGCCATGGCATCCAGCAAGGATCCGGGCGTCGAGGATCCAAGTCCAGCGGACGTGCTTCACGACACGAAGGTGTCACAGCAGTTCAGCGAGAAGGCTGGACTTCGAAGCCTCATCAGAGACTGCAAGACGAAGCCGGCTTCCCGACTGTTGAAAAAATGCCCTCATCCGCCCCAAGTACAATCTGATCGCCTACTACACTTCAACTCAAATCACTCCATAAAGCCTTCAACACTTGAGTTACCTGAAGAGGGTACGCATCCAGGAGATCTTTGAGCTGTGGACATAAGATACGGGTTCTGCACGGTATTGTGTTATCATGCACCGCATCACCATTACCAATACCATTACTCTGATTCTTGCTCTTGTTTGTATTAGTAGCAGTCGTTGTAGTCGTTGTAGTCGCAGCAGTCGTAGTAGTCGCAGTAGTGGCAGTGGTCGTGGTGGTATAGTAGTGGTAGTAGTAGTAGTAGTAGTAGGAGGAGGAGGAGGAGGAGGAGGAGGAGGAGGAGGAGGAGTAGTTTTCGCCGTCGCCGTAGTAGTAGTTGTAGTGGTTGCTGTTGTAGCAGTAGCAGCAGTAGTAGAAGCAGGTGCAGCAGTAGTAGTAGTAGTAGTAGTAGTAGTAGTAGTAGTAGTCGTAGTAGTCGCAGTAGTGGCAGTGGTCGTGGTGGTATAGTAGTAGTAGCAGTAGTAGTAGTAGTAGTAGTAGCACTACTTCTGCTCCTACTACTGCTACTGCTGCTGCTGCTGCTGCCACTGCCACTGCCACTGCTTCTGCCACTGCCACTGCCACTGCCACTGCTACTACTACTACTACTACTACTACTACTACTACTACTACTACTACTACTAATACTACTACTACTACTACTACTACTACTACTACTACTACTACTACTACTACTACTACTACTACTACTACTACTACTACTACTAATACTACTACTACTACTACTACTACTACTACTACTACTACTACTACTACTACTACTACTACTACTACTACTGCGACTACGACTACTTCTGCTACTGTTGCTGCTATTGCTACTGCTACTGCTAGTATTACTGCCACTGCCTCTGCTACTGCTACTGCTACTGCTGCTACTACTACTGCTACTACAAAAGCTATTACTGCTAATACTACGACGACGACTACTGCTACTGGGACGTTATATTGATTAGGGCCCCAACTTTCGAACCTGTCGGAGCCCCGCGGAAATGCACACTCCGGAACCGTAGTTTAACAAGCAATATCTCTGGGATGTTCAGTACTTGGCGCCAGCCTGCTGGAGAAATGTGTTGATCCTAAACTTCCTAAACGCTGCACACTCGCCGTAACCCCCTTCAATAATCCTGCGCCCTGAGCTGAAACCCCCAACATGCTGAACCCGAAGTCCCAAAACCTTGAGTTCATCATCCTGAACCCTTAAAACCCCAAAAACATGAAAGCTAAGCTCCAACTTTCAACCCGTAACCTAACATACGAAGCCTTAAAGCCCAAAGCATAAACCCCGAATGTTATATCCGAAAACCCAAGCCCATAAACCGCAACAGGAGTGCGAGTGAATAAGCGCTTAGGATACAGGGTTTAGCGAGTTTGGGGGAGGTTTAGGGCTGGAGGGTTGTAGATCCTTCGGCTCAGGGACTATCGTTTTGAGATCCACGGCTCGGGTTTGAGGCTTAAGGCTTAACGCAGAGCTCAGTTTTCGAAGTCCTCATAAGCCGAAGCCTTAGAAATCCTTTAGACCGCTTGTGGCAGGGTCGGGGTTGAATTGGATGGCTTCCTTATTCCGCAGGCAGCCGCACCGAAAGAGCATTGCAACGCTTGCGGAGTTGTGCTGGGTGACTGGGCCTTCTTATTTGGGGCTCTGGCCGAGCATGGTCATGTTTTTTTGTGAGCTCTCGGATTGCGACGTGAGCATATCCCGACAAGTCTATAGGAAAAGAGGGTGAAATTTTCTGTGAGAGAGAGAGGGAGAGTTTGAGAACAGAGCTGAGGGAGGACAGACAGAGAGAGAGAGAGAGACAGAGAGAGAGAGGGAGAGAGCGAGAGACTCTTTTTTCTTTCGACAAGAGGGGGGACCCACCCACCACCCTGAATAACAGGGGACCCTTTGCTCTGTACAGCAGAGCCCATGCACACAAATAGTGGATGGGGTAGCGCACTTGCGCGGGGCGGGAGGACTGCTCCTGACTCAAACCCCGAGCAAAGCAAAGCAAAGACTCTCTTTTAGCACAGTGTTCTCGTTGTCTCTGCATGGGGCCCGGAGTTGGCACACCTGTAGAAGGCTTGCAAAAAATGAAAGGTGCTCGTCGAATCAGTATATCCTACAATTTGTAGGATCGTCTTCGCGCGCTTTCCTTTTGTATCCAAGCCTGCCCCGGCCCATCCTGCATGCTGACACTGACATGCTCTAGCCACTGTCCCCTGCTTTTGCGTAGATCCCCAAATATCCGGAAGCGATTCCCAGAGCCATGCGGCAGAAGCCCCCCAGACCCAGATGCCACTCTCGAAGATTTGCCCAGGGAAGAGACACCTGAACCCGAAGCATCAGTGCCGCCTCTGTGGCTCCTCAGACGAAAAGCAATAGCCGTGAGGACTAGGTAGTCATAAGTTGCTCAGTTCTCCAATATGCAACCCTTGCTTTGTTCTTGTTGTCTTGCAATTTAATGGTGCTTCGTTGGTCTATTCCATGAAGTCAGGTAAGGAAACCTGCAGCAGGCCCAAGTGTATTCCGAAAAATCTCCTTGTTGGGGCTTCGAGTTTACTTCAGCTCAGAGGTTGCGGCTATTATGGTTGCGGACTGAGGGCCTGAGTGTAGGGTTGATGGGATTAGGGATGCAGTTTGGCTTGAAGATTCCCAGCACGCTTCGGGACGATGTTACACGCCTCGATTCTCTCCAGCACTAGCCTCGTTTCGCATTTTTCCTCTTATCCAGCTGCACTGAACGAGCACCCTTATATCGATGAGGAGTTGCTGGGGAACCTGGTCCTCGTTCCTTGCGCCACCAACCCTTCACTCCGAAACCCTGTGGTTAGGAGCTGTGGCTTCAATTGCCCGCTACCGTTGGGTATACGAGCAGCGAAAGGTGTCATTATCCAGTAGTTTGTCCTGGCAAAGTTGGGGGCTTGTTTTAAAGCGGGGTCTCCGCTTGAAGCAAGTTACTGTGCGAAAAGTTGCCAGTCAGAAGGTGAACCCTGACGAACCCTGCGGGTTTTAGTTGAACAAGCTGAAGCCCCTATGCATTTCCCAGGAGCCACAGTTTGCGCCACCTGCTCTCCAAACAGTCTGAAATTGGACGAGGGTAGCGCTGCCCAGCGGGTGTGCAACCCCTGCCCCTCGGGCTGAATTCCTAAAATGCTCAAACCCATATGCAATAAGCCATTTGTGCGCAATCCGAAGAATGTCAATAGGACTTGGGAAGCTGTAGCCGTTTACTTCTCGGTCCTGACGAAGTTCTGCTGTGATTGGCAATGTATATATGTGCATGTGATAACACGGGCTGAGGAGAGTGGCCCAAAGCAGAACACATGTCTCAACGAAACTTAATCATTCCTAAACCTAAACACTGCTTCCCGCAGACCCTCATGCTTACAGCTCGAATCCCGGACCCTGCAGCAAACCCGAAACAGCATTTCGCTTATGGGCTTTGGCATCTTCGTTTGTTTGTAAGGCTGGCCAGTGGATGAGTTTGCAAGTCGGGGGCTTTGGAGCCATAATTTTGGAGTTTGACCCCGAACGCCGTGAAGCCTCCGTGTGTATACAGCCTGAGAGTCACGCTCAAGTGTCTTCTGCGCTGCAGGCCCCCTTTGACAACTCTAATGTCAGCTAGTGTGAATGAGCCGTGCCTAAAAATGGGCCCGATAAACCCTAAACCTTAAAGCCGCCACTCTTTTGGGTTTCCTGGCGAAGTTTCCAGGAGTAACGGCTTAGGAGTGGCAGCCAGGCCTAAGGCCGGGTCTGGTGTTGTAGGGCTTCAAGTGTCAGGGTTTGGGGTCTTGGGATGTTTCAATGGAGGTTCAGGGTGGCAGTAATACACATGTCAGATCCTGGGCATACGGTTTCGGATCGGGCGACGGTCTGATCGAGCGATGAGATTCCAGGTCAGCCCTCCGCAGTTCAGGTTTTCTTTGAGGGCTTCAAAGCAACTGAGCCGCCGTAACCGAAGTTCGAAAAAAACGAATAAGGAAACTCAAACAAAGGTGAAGTTCCTGAGCTGAAACGCAGCATCTCGGAGGTGTTGAGATCGTGCCGCAGCAGCCCGACCTTCTGAGACGTCTTGATGCCTTAGCGCGGTACCTGGAGACTCACGTCGGAAGGCCCATGGCATGTCATGTTACATACGGTTTAGGGCCAGTTTAGGGTTAAGTCTTGAGCTTCAGATTGGTTCCCGGGTTTCGCGTTGTGGGGTTGAGAGCTTTCGGAAAGTCTTCAGGTTTGTGTCTGAAACCCTGCAGTAAATACCGGCGCTTCTATGGACGAATATAGCACCACACATCGCTGTAAGCTTCGCCGCAGCCTGCTAAACCCTAAACCTCTTCATGACCAAGCCTCCAGTGAGTTGCACACACGTCCAAAAGAGCTGTCGAGCCGAACCATGCCGAACCCCCCATCTCCAAATCCTTCAAGCCCCCACGACGCGCAGGGCCTCCAACGGACAAACATAGAAGATCCGTGATATAAGGATTCAAGCCGTGAAGGTAGGTGGGATTCAGGGATCCGTTGTGTAAGGGCTATCGGCTATCTGGCATTCCCGCACCGCAGCTTCATCCCACCTTCTGAGCCCTTGACGTAGTCCCTCGATCCAACATTCTCAATCGTAAGGGTTCCAGGGCTTCAGAAGCTTTCTGTGAGAGTTCCATCGGGTTTATAGATCGAGGCCATCGGAGGGCGACTTCCTCGAAGCCTCTGCGAGCGTTGACGCGGCGTTGGGGCGCTGTGAGGGCCTCCAGCGCGCCCTCGGGGAGGAGAGGATGCGCCGCTTGGCCTGTGTAGAGTTCTAGTCGTGGGGTGCCGTGTTCGGGGTTGAGTGCTTGGGATTTTGGGGCAATTTGGTTTAAGTAGTGACCGTGTTTTTTGTATTAACTAACACAGTCTTCTGGCAGTCCATCAGAACTTTCCCGGCGAACCAACCAAAAGAATTTCAGGATAGAGGGTTTGAGTTGACTGCACCTGGGTCCAATCCAACATGAACCTGCTTTGAGGGATGTCGTGGTGCATCTTTGGTTTCCCGACGTTGGTTCGGCGGTTGCGGGTTTTCTTGGGGTCGAGGGTCTTAATTCAGATCTCTTTTGGGCATTGGAAGGTACCTTGTGGGATCGGGTGGGTCGGTCGTTTCATGGTGGCTTCTGGGAATTCAGGATCCAGATGCTCTTCCAGGATCTTGCATTAAAGCTTTGGGTGAAAAGCTTCCGGCGATGTATCTAGTTTACTGGAGCTAAAAGGGATCCACAAGTCGCTTTGCAAAAGGACTTTCCTCCCTAAAGCCACATACCTAGATCCAAGAGTTCTGAGGCAAAAAACCTCAAGCCTTGAAGCTTTACGCTTTGAGGTCTGCCGCCTGATCCTTTGGAAAGTCAGATTCCCTCCCTGTCGCATTCTGGGGTCTGGATCGGGGTTCCGAGACTCACACGCAAAGTATGCTGTGATCAATGGTTGGTTTGAGCGTGGTGGGTGGGATTGTCCTTCTCGTGTTTTCGGATCTCAGACGAACTGATTGAAAGGCAGTTTCTGCCGGTGTCTATGTAGAAGTTCACCCGGGTCACTGCATCGAACCTGGTGAGAAGTTGGTTTTAAGCTCTGGCTCGCCGTTCGATTTGTTGGGGTTTGGGGCACATGCAGTATTCAGGACATTAGGGCCCAAAGAAGGATTTTCAGGGCTTCGGCGGCTACAGGGCTTTGGATTTGGCCCCGATGCAACTGCCACGCAAGGGCTCATGGCCAAGCTCGAGGAGGCCGTGTTTTTTTTGCTCAGACGTGTTTCAGTGACCAGATTTGCTACAGTTGCAGTTTAGGGTTTCAGAGTTTAGCTGTTTAGGGCGTAGAGGGTCTCAGAGTTTGGGGTTTAGGGGTTTTAGGGTTTCGACGGTTTCGAACTTGGACTCCATGGCGTTTGTTGGCTGCCGGATTCGACTGTCCAGACGTATACAGACGTATAGGGTTTCGGTTTCTGAGCAGCAGCTTTGGGATCTCAAAGTACATGACGAAAGACCAACACAAGCTCTTGCTTGGGTATGTTTGGGTGTGGCGGTGACTGTGTTTCTTAAACCCAAGCTGCGTCTTTTTGCAGCAAGTGTCATGCATGCCTCGCCGATATACCTTGGCAGTAAAACTACACGTCTGTTCAACGTGACGAGAGAGAGAGAGGGAGAGGGAGAGAGCTCCTCCAGAGAGAGCCACAGGGAACGAGAGAGCGCCTGAGGGAGCCAGTGGGAGAGGTAGAGGGAGCGCGACAGAGAGATGATCCTGCACAGTCTGTGAAACAATAGTTAGTCAGTCGACACGCGATTCAAGACGTGTGCCTGGACGACGCGAGAAGCACTGTCCAAGGAGCCGCTGTACAATCGATGCCACTTTGAGAGATCATCACATTCCCTCTGACACCCTGAGCTGTGAGCCGCCGAAGTTTATGTAGATCCCAAGCCCTGAAGCCCTAAAGCCCAAGGGGCACATATCCCGCAAGGTGACCGAGACCTGCGCCTCGCGTGCGCGCTTGGTGCGCGCAGGGCGAGAGGAGGAACCCGGCCCCAGCCGCCCGCAGAGACTGGGCTGACTCAAGGTGTAGGCTAGCTTTCGGCGGTTAGGGGCTGCTATAGAGGCAGCATAAGGGAAATTGTGGATGACAGCCAACGCACCCAACGATGTCAGGGGCAGGGGTGTGGTGGTTTCACTTGAGCTTCCTTCGCAGGCCGTTTGAAGCTGTGGGTACTATCGGTCGCCGATGCACTACTCTAAACCATTCCAACAAAGGGGAAGTCACAGCAGTCCTTGCTTCCGGCCTGTGGGACCCAATATGGACTTCACATACCATGGACCATGGTTCAAGGTTCGGTTAGGGGTTGGGGTTGTTGTGCAGGGCTTAAGTCGGCTTATGGGGATTATAGGCGAGTTTGTCCTCTGCCTGCTTTGTTGTAGTTGGGTGCAGCGGCGAACATTGCCCTGCACTTCTTTGAACGCCTGAAACCAAGACCTGGGAGCCCCAAAATCCTACTAAACCCCAGGTCACCCTCAGACTACCTGGGCGCACCCTCTCAGAGCACCTTTTTCTCGGCGCACAGTCGCGAAGCGCCAGAACGCCCCCTGGAGAAGTCCAGAGAGAGACACATGAATGAAAGGAATTAAGGCACGGTTCGGGGTAAGGGGTTTAACCCGACACCATCGTGGCTCTCTTTGTCTCGGTGTGTGTCTGTCTGCCTGTCTATCTGTCTGTGTTTCGTAGATCGAGCTCGCAGGCAGCAGGCGAGTGTTGCTGCAAGCCGTGTCGTAGGCAGCCAGCCCAGTTTCGAGTGCATGCTAGCTCCGAAAGTTCGAGGTTTCTAGGATTTTGATAGAACTGCATGCACACCCTGGAACCCGATCCCTGGACCCAGAGAACCCAAAGCTGAAAGCCCTACACAGGTAACAAGTGCTGCGTCGACCGTAGCCAGTGCACACTTCAGTGAGCTGCCGAAGAGCGAGCCGATGCCGAATTTTCCTTTCGGGGTCCTTTCAGGTATTGGGGAGGAGATGTTACAGCAGGGTGCGGAGCTTTTCAAGGAGCAAGGCTTTGCAGATTTTGGTGTGTTTTGAGAAATGACTAGGCTCTGGCTCTTGGACAATTGGTCTGAAGTCCAGGTTTTCGTGTTTTTGCAAGCGAGGGCGGGACTGAGTTCTTGCTTGCGGGAGTGCGGTCTGTGCCAAGTTTAGAAGCCGCACTTTGCAGCGAGACGTTCTCATCAGCAGTTTTTGCGTCACGAGTTGCAAAGCTACTGCGTGGCCGGAAGTCTATTGTCAACATCACCAGAGAGACTGAGAATAGTGGGCTGCTAGGTACGGGTTCGTTCAATGACATGGGCCCTTGCAGTCTTGATTGATGAGTTGCCCCGTGCCACACACATATGATCCGCTTTTTTGAGCCCGGCCCTGTAAACTCAGAAGCTCAAATTTGATCCTGCTGTGTAGATTGCCCTTATAAGAAGCCCCGCCTCCCACCTTGCAGGTCGTCGAAGGCTTTGTGGTAAACAGTTCAGCGTCCGAAGCCCTCCGATCCCAATAGTTAGAGGCTGTAGATGTTGATCTTACTGACCGTTTTGCAGAGCTTCGTAGGGTGCTGGCAGGTGGCGGCTGGCCGACGTATCAGACAAATGCAATTTCCAAGCCATATAAATACAAACCGTCCTTCTGCAGCTCACTCAAGTCCCTGGCTTAGTCATACCACCTGCCAGCTTTTCTGAAGGAATCGTCCTCGCCTGACTGACGTTGGGTTTGAGTTTCGGCGCTCTTGAAACACCGACTATTTCGCATGCGCTGCTATGCCACTGTTTCGCATTGAATCTGAACCGCACAGTCCGCAACCCGATTGATGCCCGCAGCTAGTCCGATCACAAGGTTAACCCTTCACGCGTAGAACCCGGAAGTTTTGCACCCCGTACTGCACAACCGTCCATATCCTCAGTGTTGAACCGTGGGAAGCCCAAGAGCCAGGTAATTATGAAATGTTGATGATCTACCATCTGACGTTTAGTATTCAGGATTGAGGCAGGTCGGGTTTTGTGGTTCTGTACAGGGTTTTGGTTTCGGATCCGATTACGGTTTGCAAGCCGAACTCGGACCGCGGTTTCTCACATGGAGGGCTTCTCCTGTGGCTTAGGGGTTGAGGGTTAATGGATCAACACGTTAATTCCCCTTTTCTAGTGCGGGTACTAAAGAGTTGCGGCTTTCAGGCTCATCTGCAGAAAGCCGTAACTGCCACTGCTACTGTAGCTAGCACTTGTTACCCGGAACCTCAACTTCCCGACGCAAAGCCATCACTTGAGTTGGTGTGCACCCACCTGTGGCCCTGATCCTGACACCAAGGAGTTATACAGGTGTATGGGAGTGCTTACTTCAAAATGCCCCGGCGCAGTCTAAATACTGTGGTGTGATATCGTTTTCGGGATCGCTTTGTAGCCAGAAACAGTGCCAGAGAATTGTTTAAATTCAATTTACATGTTTGTCAACCTGAACCAGCCAGTCCTTAGAATCTGTGCTGATTGTTTGCTGGATGTTGTATTGCTGAACCGTCACCAACCCTCACCCAAATCCTGTATCAAAGTTGGCAAAGAGGCGGCTGTTGAAGACCAGATCCGGGAGGAGCTCGGTGCTGTGAAGGCAGAGGTGGCCCTAGGGGTGGTTTGGCTTCGCTTTGGAATCGTGGAGCGGCTTTAAAGAGTAAGGTCCAGAGTCTCTGGTTTTTGATCTCTTCGGGTCTCCAGCAGGCTTGGTTTGATCCTTGTTTGCACACTTTCTGGGCCTATGTCCGAACAACTACATGCATGCCCAAGATGTTAATCGAAGTGCCGACTGACGGCGAATGCGCCAATCCAGAACCCCTCTCACGGAAGTGTTTAAAGCATCATTGTTAATGCAGTTGGTCCATCCATGTCCAACACCCGACACCCCGCATGAAAGTCGAGACCCGGCATCGCAAGGTGCGCAGCCTCAAGGTGAGCGTCGACCGGGAGTTGACAAAGGCTTTGGGGAAAAGTTTGGAAGTCTAGGATGTTTTGGGTGAGAAGCTTAGGCTTGGGTTCATGGTGTAGGTGTTGGGGTTGCCAGGCTTAGGGTGGATGGTTGATTTGGGTTTGTGGTGTAAGGGCTCCAGGACTACAGGGTCTTGTGGGTATGGGCGCAGGTTTGGTTCGGAATGTCGATTGTAAGTACGGAAGCCCTAGCATGGTCGCGTCCTAACTGCCCTACAAACCTTGCCCTGGTGAAGAGAGGAGAGGAAGAGAAAGGTGGATAGAGCATGCAGCATGTTGTCTACTGCCGTCAACCCGAATGGGATTGCTACTAAGAATCTCCGCAACTCCTTGCAGATGCCTAAGATTCAGAAACCGAGGCCTAAAGCAAATTTTGCTCAGGCGAAGCCTCCACAACCTGCTTGGATGGAGGAGTGAGATTTGGGGCTTGACCGTTTTGTCTTTAGGTCAAGAGTTCTTGAAGGCTAGAGAGTTTTGTCTCCTCGCGTCAGAACAGATTTTGGGCGAAGTTGCGATTACTTTGAAGCTTTGTTGGCCTTGATTAGGCATTTTTGAGTTGTGACTGGGGTCTCAGATTACGGACATCAGCCCCGTTTCAAGTTTCAACAGTCTTATCGTAGCAGCGACTCCACACCCTTGGTGGTGAAGTGGCTGGATAGATAGGTAGGTGGATCAACAGATACATAGATAAGCAGATGGGTAGATGGATAGAACGAGAGATAGATAAACAGTTAGCTAGTTAGCAAATATAGACAGACAGTTAGATAGGTAGATAGTAGGTCGATGGTTGGATGGATAGATAGAAAGGTAGATAGAAAGATCGTTACATGCCTAGATCGCTGGAACGATCATAGACTTTATGTATGCCAATGAGGAGCCATCACCACCCCGGACTGCAGCCGGGCTCCAAGCAGCTTCTGAGCCGAGGGCAAATTTGACGCCGGGCTTTGGGGATTACCGTTTGGAAACGGTCGGGCGGATTGGGAAGTAGGGTCTTGGGATATGGACGAGGGTCTCGGGTGAAAGGTTCGGATTAAGGTTTGGCAGTAAGGGCTATGGGTAAAGGCATTAGGGTGTAAAAGTTTGGGAATCAGGGTTCCGGTTCGAGGAGCTAGGGCCAAGAAATGGGATCAGGAATTCAGGTTTTGTGGGGATTAGAGCTGAGCCTGGGGCTTGGTGTTGAGTTCAATAATTAGTTGGCTTTGGTGGCTTAGGAGGGTTATGCGTGCAGGGTGTTGGAGTCAAGGATAGCGGAAAGACACATCTGTTCAAGTGCTCCGTCAGTGCTTTGGGCGTTTTGGTCGGGCTCAAGGGCGTTCAGGCTTGAAGTGTTCAAGCTTCAGCCGCGGCTGTGATTGGGAAATTGGCCTTGCGCTTGTAGGTTAGGACTTGCGTGAAGGCTTCTGGTTTCAGGCGTGTGTCAACGGTTGGCAAAGCTTTGCTCGGCATTTGCAATCCTTTCGGGATGAATCGCTGGATAAACAGGCCGTTTTGGCAAGTTCGGTGCTGTGGGTCTCGGGTGTGTTCGGTTCTGAGTTTCGAACTTTAAAGGCTTTGATAGTATCGGGTGCAGGCCCCGTAGAGTCGACGATTTGGTGGGGCTGTTGAGGAGTCTTCGATCTTTGCATAAACAAGCGGAAACAACAGCTGGAATCTCTTGAGGCCCTAAGGCTTTCTAAGAATCTCCGAACCTTAAATCTTAAGCTCGGCATGCCGCAGCCCAAACCGTTACGAATCTTTAAGCCCGCCTTGCATAAACCCAAAAATTCTACTCCGATAACGTCAGCTTGCCAGGTGACAGACACCACGGAATGGAGTGCCGAAGTCGCTGGCCTGCGGCAGGACTCGGCCTTGGCGTTTAAGAGCTTTTACTGCTTGGAACTTGTTAGGGTGGGTTTGAAGATTTACGGCCATATCTTGGGGGCTAGAAACTTGTGGCCTCCACCGGCCCTTCTGCGACCTCTGGAAGAAAAGTCTCTCCAACAGCGCCTGCCTTTATAGCCTTGCGATTGTGAATCCCCCATCCTGAACGCTTCCCAGGTCGCTGTCCAACCCTTCATGAAACTCCGGATTCCGAATTCATACAGAATGTCCCACCATCAACCCCTAAACGCAGCATTGCTTGCCAACCCTGTCGGCAGGAGCTAGCGTCTCTGCGGGGACTCCAGCTCAACCAGGCGCGCAGAGCGAAACATCACATGCTTAGGGCTCTGGATAAGATCGAGGCGAAGCCTAGAGACGGTGACTTTTGCGTGGCCCCACGCCCTAAACCCTCATATGAGCATAGGCAGGCTCGCAAGCAGGAGTAAGGTTGCGAAAAAAGTCGAAGCCGAGTGTACAAAGGTGAACAAGATCGTATTAAATCTAAACCCGAAACTAGCTTTCAGAGTGAGTGCCACGCGAAATCAGCAATCGATAGCAGCAGCTGCAGAAGGTTACGACAAGGATAGGTTCATTAACAGCCTCAATGCACCACCAGAAGCTGAAAGCCACCGTCTGAATGCAGAGATATAGGCAGATATGCATGTATGTGGATAGATCGATAACTAGATAGATCGATCGATAGGTACAAAGATGAAGAGACACAAAGATAAATAGGCGCAAGGATAGATAGAAAGCTAGCAAGACAGACACAACGAAAGAAAGAAAGAAAGAGAAAGGTAGTAGGCCCGGCGTTAGCCTCATGGAGTCGGCAAAGCTCCAACACTCGACACAACAGAGCCTTCAGCCCGGGAAAACCTGGAGAAGCACCTTTAACGCCAGCTGTGATGCCCCGAAGGGTTGGAGTTAGGGCTTGCACTTCCCTGAACCCTCTCAGCCCACGCTTTGTGCGCTGCTTCTCGTTTCTTTACATGAAACGTGAACATATATATAAATATATATATATATATATACATATGTATATGTATAGATATACACACATATACATGTGTCCTGAAAAG